GGGGAGGGAGAAGGGGGAGGGAGAGTTGGGGGAGAAGGGGAGGGAGAGACAGACAGGGGAGAAGAGGGAGACCACGCAGAGAGAGAGAGTGTGTATAGAGCAGGCTGCCCTCAGATACTTACCGTCTCTTTAGCAGCTCCTCCCGGTCCATGGTCCTGGTGAAAGTTGTGTCAAACTCAGCGCCTCGCTGTTGGCCTCCAGCATCCACAGTCTCCAGCTGCTGCCTCCCTCTCGCTCTCCCTCTCTCTCTGTGTCTGTGTGCAGCCCCAGCTCAGAGCTGCTCCCTGGGGCTGGGGAGGGATAGGGAGGCTGAGGAATGCCGCTGAGCTGTCACACTGCCTGGGCTCTCTCTCTCTCTCACTCACTCACTCACACTCACACACAGAGCTGTTGGTGCAAAGTGCCAGCGCTTTGGGAAGGACTGTTCAGCTGCCAGTGTTCTCACTCCCTCCTTGTCCACTCCCACTCTCTGCCCTGGAAAGGCAGCGCCATCTGCAGTTGTCAGTCAGCACCATTCCAACACCTCCTCCCTCCAAATCCCCTCCCTCCAACACCTCCTCCCTCCAAATCCCCTCCCTCCAACTCCTCCTCCCTCCAACACCTCCTCCCTCCAAATCCCCTCCCTCCAACTCCTCCTCCCTCCAAATCCCCTCCCTCCAAATCCCCTCCCTCCAACACCTCCTCCCTCCAAATCCCCTCTCTCCAACACCTCCTCCCTCCAAATCCCCACCCTCCAACTCCTCCCTCCAACGCCCCCTCCCTCCAACTCCTCCTCCCTCCAACTCCTCCTCCCTCCAAATCCCCTCCCTCCAACACCCCCTCCCTCCAACTTCTCCTCCCTTCAACACTCCCTCCCTCTAACTCCTCCTTCACATCCCCTCCTCCCTCTGACTCTCACCAAAGTTCATGGACACAGTGGGGAGGTTGGAGGGTGGTCTGCTATTCCACCAGCAGTAGTCTAGGACAGAGACTCTTCTGTCTTTACATCTATATAAACTACTGAAGCATCAATGTCCTCACTTGTTTTATAAATCCATGGCCAACCAGCCTTATCATTCCCTGTACCTACAACCCGTGGTTATTGCAATACAGAGTTTAGAACTAGCAGGAGTGACAAAGACTGAGCAGGATGCCAATTATACCAATTTGGGTGGCACAGTGGCTCAGGGGTTAGCATTGCTGCCTCTCAGCGCCAGGGACCCAGGTTCAATTCCAGCCTCAGGCAATCTGTCTGTGTGGAGTTTGCACGTTCTCCCTGTGTCTGTGTGGGTTTCCTCTGGGTGCTCCGGTTTCCTCCCACAGTCCAAAAATGTGCAGGTTAGTGTGGATTGGCCATGCTGAATGTAGGGTTACCAAAGGGTGGGGATGTGACTCTGGTTGGGATGCTCTACACAGGGTCGGTGTGGACTCGATGTGCTGAATGGCCCAATTCTACAATGTTTGGATTCTAGGAACTACCTACAGACAGGACACGAAAGAGGCAGAGCAGGCAAGCAACTAATGAGGAGCGATGTGCAGATGTTGTAGGGATGAGGAGAGGGGAGAAGTTTTTTTCAGCCAGCGAGTAGTTAGGATATGGAATGCACTGTCTGATAATTAGGGGTTGCACTGATGATGTTGCCTAGTAGGGTAACAAAATGTTTGCACACCACAGAACAACTGGCTCAGCAAAGAAATAAACAATTGAATCCACAACCCGAGCTACAAATTTTCACTAAGACCTTAAAAATACACTGTCTGGAAATGTGGCAGAGGCAGGTTCAATTGAGACAATTAAGAGAGTTTGGGTAAAAATGGTGTCCCAGGGATTATGGGAGAAAGCAGGAGATTGGCAGAAGGGGATAGGACCAATACATGAATGGTGGGCCAAAAAGCCTCCTTTTGCACGGTAATTGTTCTCTGAGAGCTGTGAGGTATGAGGCAGAAGAGATGGGGGGGTTGAGGTGTGTGACGTAGACTTTAATGGCTGGGTTATAAGGGGTTGTTGGCAACTGGGGGAGCTGGGGAAGGGGACCAGACAGAAGGAGACAATTGGATTATAAAGCACACAAGGTCATGGGTTTCATCAATGGAAGATTCGATAAAACATGGAAGTTGTGCTGAGCTTTCATGAAGCTGAAATAAAACTAAGAACTGCAGATGCTGGAGCTCACCACAACCTTCTCAACAAGCAATTAGGGACAGGCAATAAATACTGATCCAGCCCTCCCACAAATGTATATTAAAAAAAAATCTGAAACAGAAACTGCTGGAAAAATTCCTACAGTGTGGAAGCAGGCCATTCGGTCCATCCAGTCACCACTATCCTTCTGAAGAGCATCCTAGCAAGACCCACACCCCCACACTATCCCTGTAACTCTGCATTTCCCATGGCCAATCCACCTATCCTGTACATCTTTGGACTGTGGGAGGAAACTGAAGCACCTGGAGGAAACCCACACAGACACAGGGAGAGTGTGCAAACTCCACACAGACACTCACCCGAGGGTGGGATTGAACCTGGGTCCCTGGTGCTGTGAGGCAGCAGTGTTAATCACTGCCCTAACTCAGCAGGTCTGGTAGCATCTGTGGAGAGAAAGCAGAGTTAACATTTCGGGTGTAGTGACCCTTCTTCATACCTGATGGTAGCTAGGAAAAGGTGGTATTTATGCTGAAGACAGGAGTTGGGAGGGGGTTAAGGGGGTAGGGGGGTAAAGGTGAAGATGGACCCATTGGAAGTGAGTTTGCAGACAAAGCGGTGGATAATGGTAAGTCAGGGAGACAGAATAAAACTGATAATAAGATCCGTTAGTGGGTGAAAAGGGTTAGCTGTGTGGAAAGCAGCCAGAGTCATGGCAGAGGCTGAGTAAAGGACATGGAAAGGGGATTCCCAGGCCCTAACATTATTGTTCTCAATATTGAGTCCTGAAGGCTGAGGGGTCCTCAAGCAGAAAACAAAATTATGTTCTTTCAGACATATATACCATCCCTTCCCAGCTACAGTCAGTTCAATTGTAAGGTAACTAGAATCAATGTATTATCTCTGTCTCTCTCTCCACAGATGGCACCAGACCTGCTGTGTTTCTCCAGCAATTTTTGTTTTTGCCTCATATAGCTGCAGTTAGGCCACAACCAGGGCCTTGAACTCAGTCTAGGCACCACACTACACGAAGGGCGTAGGATCCTTTGGGAGAGTGTAGAGGAGGAAGTTTGGTTCCAGGGATCGGAGAAGCTTAACTCCAGATTTGTTCTGGAGAAACTGATGTTCCCATTGGGAGAGAGAGGACTGGAGGGAGATCTGATCGAAGGATTAGTTTGGGATTGATACAGGTCTACAGGGAGCGAGTGGGGCTGTGGGATTAGTTTGGGATTGATACAGGACTACAGGGAGAGAGCGGGGCAGTGGGATTAATTTGGGGATTGATGGTCTAT